CCACGATCTCCCACGAAACCGGCATCAGACACTCACCCTCAGAACTCAGATAAGAACCCTGGAATCATTCACTCTGTTGACTCTCACTTGCCTTAACCTAACCCATTCTACTCCTCCACATCCTGTACCAATAAACCCTCCTGTCTTTCACTTACCCGTTGTGTCTGGCCTTGCTTTATGACAGTATCCAGATCAGATGGTCACTGCAGTCACCCGGATCCAGTACGTATTCAGACCAGATGGTGGATCAGCACCTAGAAAGGACCTCTACAGCGGAGACCAGGACAACTAGATGAGCCCCAGAGACAGATCCCCTGTAAAGACCTTGTCTCAGACGACCACCGAGACAAGACCACAGGAACCAGATGAGTCCTCTGCACAATGTGACTTTGCTGCAGCCTGAAATTGAACTGCTGGTTTTGTCTGGTCAGAGGAGAACTGGCCCACCGACTGAGCCTGGTTTCTACCAAGGTTTTTTCTCCATTCTGTCACCGATGGAGTTTTGGTTCCTTGCCGCTGTCGCCTCTGGCTTGCTTAGTTGGGGACACTTCATTTCCAATGATATCATTGACATGATTGCAAATAAACTCCATCGGTGACAGAATGGAGAAAAAACCTTGGAAGAAACCAGGCTCAGTCGGGGGGCCAGTTCTCCTCTGACCAGACGAACCAGCAGTATAGAACAGACACACTATTTTCCTAATTATTGCTGTTCAGTTGCTTTGACACAATCTGTATTGTTAAAAGCGCTATATAAATAAAGGTGACTTGACTTGACTACATTTGAAAACAACGTTTTTATTTCAAAATACTCTCCATCCACACTACTGTTTTCAAGTGTTTTCCAGAAGTTTTTCAACCACACTGAAATGTCAGAATATGCTAAATTCAACTTACTCCTCTAAATTCAACAGACATAATACATTTCTCATGCTATTCTTCAAGCAGGATCATTTTATTTAGCAAAATGTCTCATTATTCACTTACATATCCAGGTCGAACTTAATCACCATTATATATTTGATCTGAAGGCCAATTCACACTGCACCAACACACTGCACAGACAAATGACAACAGATGCATTTGTCTGGTTTGGTCTGATCAGTGTGTAACCCCTGTCGGCATCGGTTGCCATTGGTCAGTATTTTTTTCCACCAACTGAACATGAAGAATCATTTTAAAGTAACGTCTGAGAAGTGGCATACTACACTCGGTCGGTTGTTGCCACTGGTCTGTGCAGTATGAATTGGCTTTAAAATGCAACAGCAACTGCGAGTAATTTTTTTGTCATCTTTGCAGGACTGTGATATAAAGAGTGTAGCTATAGCACATTTGTGTTTGATTAGGTTGGAGCAGAACTTTAGGAAGGTAGATCTCTAGGAACAGGGGTGGACACGCCTATACTGGACTATCCAGGGACTTTTGGCATACTCTTTTCAACATATTCTGCTTTGGGAAACTATTTAAAATGGACAGTATGCACAATAGGACACCGGGTAAATTTACATGAACAAATTTCGTTAACTTTCTTTGTGATGATTATCACAGGACCAGGGTTTAGGGAATCTGTCTGTAGCCTTGTGCTGGAGGTATTTATTGGTTATCTGGTGAAGCTAGGCTAAGCCTAGATGGGAGACTTTTTGGAAAAGTTAATAAACTCAGGTTTTGAGTTAGATTTTGATTTTGTTCTACACTAACATATTAATTGGACTTGAAATATTGGGCAAGCTAGCAATTTGATAGCATCTACAGTCTTTTCAAACAGATAAAGAGTGAGTGATTTACTACTGTCATGTCTGGTTTGGTTTCAATTCTGTTTTCCTTAGTTTCTAAGTATGTTATTGTTTATTTCTAGTTTTTTTTTGTTTTAGTTACATCTGTGTCTTGAGTTGTCACTTATTGTCTTTGTTATACAGAGCTGTTATATTTGCATATACATTTTGGATCACTGCAAACTCTTTCCTTCGCTTTTTGGATTACTATGATTTATTGGATTACCTTCTTTTGTTGATTAATAAAGACCTGCTGCATTTTGATCCCCACCTCAACTTTTCTTTGTCCTGCAACCGTTACATAACAGGCCGCAAGTAGTTATGTGACCCTGACTGACAATTAATATTGTATAAACTGTCATTTGATTGTATGGAGTAGGGAGTATTTAGAACTTTCATTTTCTTTCGTGTTTAATGAACTTGTTTCATAATCACAGGACCAGTGATGTATGAGACATTTGAGGAACCTGTCTGCGATATCTGTCTAATAAGTTACATCTGTGTTTTACTGAGTTATCTAAATGAACTTTTCCATGACATTCTAATTTATTGAGATGCACCTGTATATACAGCCCTCTGTTTGCCGAGTAGTTGACCATTGACTTGTTATATAGAGCTATTACGTTTGCATTTACCTTTTGGATTATTGCAAATCACTTTTTGGCTTACTTTTTGCTTATTAATAAAGACCTGTAGATCCTCGCCTCGACTTCTCCCTGTCATGCAACCGTTACATAACAGACCGCAGGTAGTTATATGACCCTGATTGACAATTAATGTAACTGGCATTTGGTTCATCTGATTTTTGCTCTTATTTATTGCATTCATTTTAGTTTTCTTTTCTTTTCTCCTCCATTTCACTGTAAACTCAAATATGCAAACTTAATTTTAGGGGTAGTAGGGGAAAATTAAATCATACAATTTAATTATAATTAACTTTGCTTCTTTTAAGCTGAATATACTTGTCTATACATTTACACTAACAAGTTTTGTCAGATTTCCTTGCAATGATGATCAGCTACAGAGAGGAGGTGCAACAACCTGTCCCTGAATGTGGACAAAACAAAAGTTGAGAAACCCTGGATACTCAATAGCTAGCTAGTAAACATCTATCAAAGTTAGCCGGCAGCTAGCTAGTTTGTTAATACACATATCATTAGGAAACCATGCATATAAGCTTGCTTATACTTAACAGGTACCAATATTAGCTCAGAAACATTACCTCTAGCAGGTAAATCACTCAATTCAAGGTGCCAGTTGACTGACCTGCTGGCCGATGTCCCAGAACGGAGGTCATGATGTCAAAATGAATTATTATGTTCCATCCACTGCTGCTTCTATTCATCTCTCTTTTATGGTCTCTGGACCCAGATGAAGGCCATGGTGGAGCAGAGAGAATGAGAAGCCAATGTAAAGCTGATGGGTCGAAGGGCCGAGATGAATTCCTGTGCTTGGAGGGTTGAGGTGGAGCAAGTCCCAGGCTGAGGCCATGACTCCAAAGACCACGGTGACTGGCTAGGACACTGTGGTCATGTCGGTGAAGCTGGGGGGCTGGGGAGGGTTGACTGAGCCAGGGAGTCAGACAGCCAGGCAGAACCAGTAAGGAGGAGACCAAGGATGCGAAAATCTGGACAAAAATATTTCAAGTCTGGTAGACTTTGGCTGTGCAAGGTCATGGTTTTTGTCTTGTTTATTAATTATTTATTAATGTAATGCAGGGATTCCTAAACTTTTGTTGTTGTTGTTGTCAGCCAACCTCCCTTAACCTAAATATTTACCTACCAAGTCCCCCTGGGATTTTAAGTTAATATTTCAATAACTTAACAATACATGTTCAGGTTCAGGTTCTCTGAAGTCGTTTAATGGTCACATGACATGCAGGCCAACACATAATATATCTCATCTTTTCAAGCTTGATTTTTCAGTGCTGGAATTCATTTTTTTATTTGCTGTTATACATTTGCGTTAAACATTTTTTAAATGTATTATCTAAAATGTAAAATATTTTATTGTATTATATTTTACAAATATATTAAAATATGTTTAATGACATATTTTAAAATATACCAGCTGTCACAATAAAAACCCCATTGACAAGTAGAAAACAAGAGTTCTCTGTATTCATATATTAACTATAACAATGTACATAAATCAAAAAAGGACTAATAAAGGACTGAACAAAAAGTCATTAACATCTTTTGAATTAATATTGTGTGACTATTGAATTGTGTCACATTTTAGAGTCCATTTCAAAAAGCGGGTGACAGAGACCTCTGGTGGTGAGATGAACATATTGCACTGGATGTCACAATAATGCAAAGACTTTGTGTGACCCTGCCTGTGAAACCCCAGCTAAAGTCTTTTTTTTGTGATTTACTGTTTTCTACATAAAATCCTCCTTCATAAACATGTAGAACATTCTGTGAAAATATAACCTTTATATCTTTATTGACCGAGTAAGGCCATGTCAAAGATTGAAATCATAGTGAAATGAATGGTTGAAATCAAACTTTGATGCTTGTTATCTCATAATTAGATTTTGAGACTTTAGCCTGGATTTCACAGACAGAGTCACAAATATCAAACCATCCCGTCACTGATTCTTAAGACAAGATGATACAAAACATGTCCTACAACTTGACCTGCCATTAGTTTTTATAACAGCAACATTTCTACTTTAAAAACCTAATCAGATGATCACTTAAATGTTCTAGTCATGAGTGTTTATCATGTTATGCTCAGATGAATCATTTCACATGACTTTCTCTTGATCTTATGCAAATGATGACATTATCACTCACTCTCCCAATATGTCATATAGATTCAAATACATAAAAATAAATGTATAAATTGTTTTAGACAGAAATGCATACAGTGCTGACCCAGAGTGAGTGGGGAGGGGGAAAAAACAGAAAGAGGGAAAATAGAATTTTGTCATTGATTTATAAATATGTATCCTGCTCCTACCACCATACCCAGTCAGGTTTGGAAAGCCATTAAACGGAGGGAAAAAAGTAAAAAAAATAAAAAGATTCGTTTTTATGTTATTTTGAAAGTTTGATAGTTTAATTTACAATAGTCAAAATAGTTATTTTCTTTAAAAATCATAATTTTAAAACATATCTCTGAAGTTATAAATGCAGGCGCTGGGCGGAAATAGTCGCTCTCGCGCGCTACAGGATTGACATGATGGCGTCGTGTGCTGTACAGCTGGTGAGCACGTCCTGTCCGAAATGTAATTAATGTACTCATTTCACAGTGCACACACGTGTCAGTCTAACAGCATTTGTTTTATTTTACCTGCAATAACTTATAAAATCTGCTGTTTGTTTAGTGAAGCGATATCACGACAAAAGTTTAACGGCGTCGAAGACGACGACGTGCGTTTCAATGGTGCGGTTGTGCCCCGCCAATCATTTCTTTTACATTTTACCAGATTGAAAAAGTAACGAGGAAGAAGGTTGAAAAACTGAAATTTGAAACAAACATTTTGAAGGGCCCTTATATGAAGCACCCTTTACAAAACAGGTGTGTTCAGACTACTAGCGTTTGAAAAATCGATTGAGTCGTTTCTGCATTCTCTACTGTGGTTACTCACCCTGCTCTTCTTCCTTGTCTGTTATTGTATCGTTTGTGTACTGTGTGTAGATGGGGTCTTTGGTTCTACAAGAATGATAAGAGCAAAATATAAAATCTGCTGTTTGTTTAGTGAAGCGATATCACGACAAAAGTTTAACGGCGTCGAAGACGACGACGTGCGTTTCAATGGTGCGGTTGTGCCCCGCCAATCATTTCTTTTACATTTTACCAGATTGAAAAAGTAACGAGGAAGAAGGTTGAAAAACTGAAATTTGAAACAAACATTTTGAAGGGCCCTTATATGAAGCACCCTTTACAAAACAGGTGTGTTCAGGCTACTAGCGTTTGAAAAATCGATTGAGTCGTTTCTGCATTCTCTACTGTGGTTACTCACCCTGCTCTTCCTTGTCTGTTATTGTATCGTTTGTGTACTGTGTGTAGATGGGGTCTTTGGTTCTACAAGAATGATAAGAGCAAAATGTGGCAAGACAATCTAAGGCTCATCACCAAGTTCGACACAGTTGAGGACTTCTGGGCGTAAGTTTAAGATCAGGTGTTTACCATTATCGTAATAAACTGGGGGGGATGGTTGTCCTGGGGCCTCATGTATAAAACTTTGTGTAGATTTCATCCTAAAACTGTACGTACGCACAAAAGATAGATCTGGCGTACGCACAAGTTTTTGGATTTATAAAACCACGCCAGAACCTGTGCAAAAATCCTTTTATAAATCCCTGTCAGCTGAAGATTTGTGCATACATGCGTCTCCTCTCCAAAATCACCATATATGGAGCTTACAACGCCTAGTTTTACTATGCATAACCTCATCTGCATATCATTTCCATGCATATTCCCATCCACTTGACACCATGTTTACCGTTAAAGGTACAAGACGGTAGGAAAATATGACATGCGGACTAAAAATGCTATTTGTACGGTACATTACATTGCTAAAAATCATTCACTGTCCTTGTCTTGTTTTCGAATAAATATATCAAAATTGATTAGGGCTGTCGTGATTCCTCGATTTTATTCGACGAAATCCTCGACTTCATTATGCTCGCGTCGACTAACCGGCAAAATACCGTAAGTGGCGAATTTCATGGACGAGAATCCATAAAACACATTATTAGACTGTTTCCCAAGGCTGCATGATATATTAAACCCATTTAAAAATTGTGAATTCACAAACGCTGTGATTTAATTAAATAATTATATGCGATGCAGTTCTAATACAGTATATGTGCTTTAATTATTTACATGCATGTAGGTGGGAAGTAGGGATGCTGAGGTGGCTGCAGCACCCCCTGTTTTCACATGGTTGCAAATGCAATGCCAAGTTTGTTCATTTAAATTTATTCAGTTTTAGCATTTAATTATTTGTAATGATCTCTGAAATGTAAATTGTAAGTGGGCTATAATAAACCCATGTTTATCTTTATAAACATGATTAATTTTACTTGTGATGTTTTCTATATGGGATGATTAGCCCAATCCTCATGAACACGTGACGCTGGCGCGTGGTATCAGACATGAACTATACAGAATGCGAACAAGATTAACTTTAATACAAGGAGATAATGGTGCAAAAGCGAATTTCAGATTTTTTTAAATGCCCATCCCAGCAAAAACGTTCCAAAATTGGCATCCAAACAACACCAGCCCCAGCACGAGCACCAACGTAAGTGAACAAGTACGTAAGTAAAGTATTGTCTTTTGTTGTTGTGGGCACGTCTACAGATTTCTTGCCATATGTCTGTTTCTTGCATCTCACGATTGTCGTGTATGAAATAATGTCTGTGTGCATGTGAATAAAACAACAAACTGGCAATTTATGTATAATCATTTGTAATTGTATATACATTGTTGTGATTAATTGTGGCTTGAACAATAATGTAGCTGTAAAAATAGTTGCCTGCTGAAATTGAAATGTATATACATCTTCATCATGACTAGATAGACACGGTGAGTTTGTCTTTACTATACACCTTAGATGTGATCCACCTCATAGTAACAATCCTGTCAGATCATCCATCCTTTGAGTGAGTGTGTAACGTTACAGGTCGGCCAATCTGGTTTCGTGGTTAAAGTTAACCTTTTCGACATGTTTCCCTGTTGTCGTTGCTCCGCAATAGCATGGACGTGATGTTGTCTGGGGGTTTGGCAAAGGCGGTGACTGTAGTTCTGACGTCAGCTTTTTACGGAAGTCACAACGGTTACTTAAAAATCACAGCTACTTTAAGCAGGCTGTGTATTTTACTGTGGACTAACTGTTTTGAAACTTATATGGTAGTTACATAGCACCTAGACCTCAGTTATCATGAAAAAAGCCAGGAAATTTCAGTTTTGACAATATGGGACCTTTAAACAAATCAAATGTTTTAGGATATTTTAATAGACTATATTAGAATCTGAAATGCAGTGTGTGTAAATAATTGTCTGGCGCGGCGTTACTGAGAAAATATAAAAAAAGAAACGTGCAAATCTTACCGTTTGCTTCGGATTCTATCCTTCAATCACAATGCTGTTTTCATAATGTTCTGAAGATCGCAGAAGTAGTCTGCCTTCACGCGAAATAAACACCTCCGTGCCGCCTTGGTTGTACAGTAGGCTAATATAATTGGACCTATTTAAACCATGCCAATGGACTGTTCGACCACCGAATCCAGTAATCAGAATCAGAATGAGCTTTATCGCCAGGTATGTTTACACATACGAGGAATTTGTTTTAGTGACAGAAGCTCCACAGTGCAACAGAATGACAGTGACAAGACAGGACATAGATAATAAAAAAAATAATATACAAAATAGACAATGTACAAAATAGCAAAAACACTGTAATATAGACAATTATGTATGTATAGGTATGATATGTGCAAATTTGAATAATCAGAATCAGAATGAGCTTTATCGCCAGGTATGTTTACACATACGAGGAATTTGTTTTAGTGACAGAAGCTCCACAGTGCAACAGAATGACAGTGACAAGACAGGACATAGATAATAAAAATAATAATATACAAAATAGACAATGTACAAAATAGCAAAAACACTATGTAATATAGACAATTATGTATGTATAGGTATGATATGTGCAAATTTGAAATGTAAAAAAAGTATGTGGGTTAAATAAATGTATAATAGTGTTGTGTTAACTTCAAAAACACTCCCAATCAGTGAGGTCGAAACAGGCTTGTAAATCCCGCTGTGCTTCATTAGTCTCTTTTTTCATCTTTTTACAGTCCTTAATAAAGGTTTAGATGATTATAGTTTCTGCCTGTAGGTCGGTATAAGATGAACCAAACAGTGATCAGCCCAAAGCTGCCCGTGGGACAGAGCGATATGCATTTTTTATTGTGGTGTAACAGTGTATTGTGTATATTATACACCACAACAGTATTGTGGTGTATAAAATAACTGTTGCTTCAAGAAGTTTTGTGTAGTATTTTCTTTACCCTTTTTTCTTTTCTTTTCCCAAAAACTGTCTAAAAAGGGTAATATTTTATGTATTTGGGGTCTGAGATGCGGGAACGGTGAAGAGAGAAAGGGCAAACATTTTGCATTTTAGGTCAGCATGGTTGTCTAATCAGCCAGTATTGTATTAAAACAGCCTGCATAGCACTTCATCTTTTATAACATGGGATATTGACCAAATATATTCAATCTTGATTTTTGTAAAATGTTGCAACAAGATGTTATTTTTTTTCTTTTACTTCTGGTGAAAAATTAGTTTTAGATGTGTATATAAGGTAATACAAATATATATTTTTAAATATCCTCAAGTAAATACAAAGGAGCATGTAAAGCAAATATCTTTAAAATAAATTCTGTGTGGAGCATGCCCCCGATCCACACAATGTTCTTGCCTTTTTCCCCCTTTCCTGTTTGCATCTCTGATTACAATTTATACATTGCGTAAACTACAACATTTTGGAAGTAATGCTTTCTGTAGGTAAGGGTTGGTGACCTAAGTGTCACAGCCAGACAGAGGACTGTAAGTTCATTACAGGCTAATGAAATTTATTCTGATTTATAGAATAGAGAGTGTTTGTAACTTTAACCTGGTATTTTGTATTTTCTCATGTATAATAGTTCTAACCATTTTAACACAAGCATGAAAATCATCACAAATTTGTTATTAGCGGTTTTCTACCACCTATTTTCTGTATTGCGAAGTAAACATGTAAAAGTTTATACAAGAATCTGTCCCCATTCCTGCGAGCATCTTCTTTAGCCTGATGGAGCTGTCTGAGTTTTGCAGTGAACCATGGTTTGTCGTTGTTGTAGGTTAAATAAGTCCTGGTTGGAATGCACATGTCTTCACAGAAACTGATATATGATGTTACAGTCTCTGTGAGCTCATCCAGATCGATGGCAGCAACTTCAAAAACACTCCCAATCAGTGAGGTCGAAACAGGCTTGTAAATCCCGCTGTGCTTCATTAGTCTCTTTTTTCATCTTTTTACAGTCCTTAATAAAGGTTTAGATGATTATAGTTTCTGCCTGTAGGTCGGTATAAGATGAACCAAACAGTGATCAGCCCAAAGCTGCCCGTGGGACAGAGCGATATGCATTTTTTATTGTGGTGTAACAGTGTATTGTGTATATTATACACTACAACAGTATTGTGGTGTATAAAATAACTGTTGCTTCAAGAAGTTTTGTGTAGTATTTTCTTTACCCTTTTTTCTTTTCTTTTCCCAAAAACTGTCTAAAAAGGGTAATATTTTATGTATTTGGGGTCTGAGATGCGGGAACGGTGAAGAGAGAAAGGGCAAACATTTTGCATTTTAGGTCAGCATGGTTGTCTAATCAGCCAGTATTGTATTAAAACAGCCTGCATAGCACTTCATCTTTTATAACATGGGATATTGACCAAATATATTCAATCTTGATTTTTGTAAAATGTTGCAACAAGATGTTATTTTTTTTCTTTTACTTCTGGTGAAAAATTAGTTTTAGATGTGTATATAAGGTAATACAAATATATATTTTTAAATATCCTCAAGTAAATACAAAGGAGCATGTAAAGCAAATATCTTTAAAATAAATTCTGTGTGGAGCATGCCCCCGATCCACACAATGTTCTTGCCTTTTTCCCCCTTTCCTGTTTGCATCTCTGATTACAATTTATACATTGCGTAAACTACAACATTTTGGAAGTAATGCTTTCTGTAGGTAAGGGTTGGTGACCTAAGTGTCACAGCCAGACAGAGGACTGTAAGTTCATTACAGGCTAATGAAATTTATTCTGATTTATAGAATAGAGAGTGTTTGTAACTTTAACCTGGTATTTTGTATTTTCTCATGTATAATAGTTCTAACCATTTTAACACAAGCATGAAAATCATCACAAATTTGTTATTAGCGGTTTTCTACCACCTATTTTCTGTATTGCGAAGTAAACATGTAAAAACATTTTCTTCAGTTATATTTGTTCATTTCAAAATAAACGTCCTAACCCCCACTTTGATTTTGCATATTTTAATGTTTACACTGTTCAAAATATAAGTTTCTATAGCATTCTATCATAAAAC